TTTTTATAAAAAAATCATTTTATATTTTAAAAGAACCATGCATTGTGATATCAAACATGCAAATATTTTAATCACAAACAACTTTAAAGCACAAAATTGTGATTTTGGGCCTGCAAAATGGCTACCAGATATTTTAATCAATAAATATCTTATTACCCAAACTCATAAAATTCTCAATATCGTAGGCGGGTTAATTATTTAGCCTAATGCGACACAAAGAAATTTATTTAGGAAACTATGATATTTTCTACATTGTTCTTGAAACTCGTCATGTCAAAATGACGAGTTCTATTAAAAATATACTTTAATGGACGTAGACGTTGGTTCTAATAATTTATTGACGAGTTCCATTAAAAATATATTTTAATGGATGTTGATGTTGGGTCTAATATTTTATTATATTTCATGGAACTCGTCATATCGACATGAAGAGTTTTATTCGGAAAAAAATTATTTTTTATTCATAATAATTAAAAAAACATAAAACTCGTCACGTCAATATGACGAGTTTTAATAGTCATACTGATAATTTTTACTAAATATAAAGTACTTAATGTTTACATTTGAAGCATTAACTCATACATTACATTATATCAGAAACATTAACTCATACATTACATTATAAACATTAACTCCTACATTACATTACATTACAATACAATAGAAGCATTAAGTTGTTACCTACACATCTTAGTCCTTATTAGTCAGTTGACTTGTCAGATGTTATGTTCTTCAATCCTCCTTTCTTTATCTTGTTTCCTTCCATATATAAATAGTTCAAGTTCTTGAAGTTCAACTTCTATATTGTCAAATACGTCTAGAGATTTTATTTTTGATGTGGAATGAGTTGTGGCTTGCTTGTGATACTTGACAAATAAGTCAACATTATTCATTGAACTGGTAATGTATGTGTCAATCATTGTTTGAACTACATCATCATTGTTCAAATATCTCATTGATAATTGTTGTGGAACTAAAGAGGTTGAAAACCTGAACTATAATAAAAAAAAATGTTAAATCTTCATTAGCTCCAACCTTGTTTAAAATTTTCATTATCAAGTCGAATATCTCCCTTGAAGGAGATGATGAAAATTTTCCCCTCACAATAAATTATTTTTGAAATTGTTGTCATGAAAATTTTCAAAATAGGAACTTGAACAATGAAATTGTGTCTCATATGGGCATGACTATATATAACACTGAAAAGTTATAGTGAAATAATCATGGTAGGTGTAATTTTTAAATATGGCCAACAAATTTAAAAATGAGGTGATATATCACTTAAAAGAAAATTGATGTTTTGAATTATTATGATGAGGTTTGATGATTAATATGATTAAAAGAAAATTGAGTTCGAATTTACGATCTGTTTTGTCAAATTCTAACTTGAAAGCCCCCAAATCGAGCATTGAACCCCAAACATGCATATGTATTCAATTATTTTATTTAAGTGCATTTAATTTAAGATCAAGGATTGATTATGTTATTAATTATTGAAGGTACTCTAGACTCTCCCGACAGCTCGTCAGCTTAACCCAGTTCCTCCCGATCAATCTGATCGTGAGAGCCCATGATTACTCGTATAGTTTCATAAAACCTATACATATTTAGATTTTAAATATTTCTTCATTAGTAACCTGAATTCATTGTGGTTTAGGTTCGAGCATTGATGTAGATCGTAGAAGGGATGGAGCTTAGTAGATCTCCCAGATTGATTTCTTTATTAGGTGTGTTCCTTATGTGCTACATATTAATTTAAATGTCTATTTTAAATTCTCGAGTGCACATGACTGATTTATCTAATTTGAAATACAATTGTTTGATTTGTTTCAAATATTGAATGACTTGGATGATATGAAAGCCTGATTCTGCATTACCAATTTATTGAATGTCTAATTTCTGGTTACTGATTTAAATCTCTATCGATTGATACATTCTCTCTGGTTTCCGATATGTACTGAAAAATAATTATGTCTGATTTATGATCTACTGATTTAACTAAAATTGTTTGAAATTATTTTTCTTGGGTTACATATGGGATCTGATGTGAAGTTCTGCAAGTTTAGCCCCAATTAGGCTGATAAATCTTTATGGACCTAAGGCGACCCTTGGGCGGGCACCTAGGCCCAAATGGCCTAAAGGTAAGACCTTATGGAACTCCCAGAGGGTGGCTCCTTCGCTTTGTGCATTGGGTAAGTCCTTATGGACTTGAGGGCCCTCCCTTCAGGTGGCTCCTACGCTTCGGCTAGGGTGAGTCCTTATGGACCCAAGGTGCTCCCTTAGGTTGGCTTCTAGGCCCAATGAGCCTAGGGTAAGTCCTTATGGAATCAATTATGGGGAACTGCATATGGTGTATGGTTGGAGGGTAACTAAACTATTTTACTGAAATCTCTATTGTCAATTTAATACTATACTATTGAACTAATTTTGAAACTTATCTATATATTTTTATTATGCACTTATTGGAACACGCTGTGCTCTATAGCAAATACCCCCAAACATTTCCCCTTTCATATACTTTTGGATAAGCATTCCCAAAGCTAGCACTTGGAGGATCGACACATTTCATACTATACTTTTTGTTGTAATGTTTCTATCTTCCAAACTCTCTTTATTATGGGTGACATGTGCCTATATTTTGTTATACTTATTATATGATATGTTATGTTTTACTACTGCTGTATGAATTTCTACGATACTAATTATTTGGTATTTCGCACGTGGACATGATGCTTTATATTAGCATCAATCGATTTGAATTTTTCTAAATATTTTTTTTATTATGTTTTGCATTACTTGGATTTAAAAGGGTTTGAGAATGTTTTAGAAAAGTCTTAATGTAATTCGCTAGACCTAGTCGTGACGCATATGCTGGATTTAGGGGGTTACATCACCTCTCTCTTAATTATACAAAATATTTATCAATAAGTCCGTTAGAACTCGTCAGGCCCACATGAGGAGTTCATCATCAATTAAAATCTGACTATTTCCCAATGACTATAAATGGCTAGTTTTTTAAACCAAACAAAACTCGTCAAGTCCGTGGTTTTTTTTTAACAAAAAAATATTTTTAAAAAAACTCTAAATTTAGAGGACAAAATAACTTTTTAATGGAACTCGTCATACAAAAGTGATGAATTCTAAAAAATATAATAAAATATTAAACTCGACGCATTTGTCCATTAAAATATATTTTTCTATAAAACTCGTCATATCAATATAACAAATTTTAAAAACAACATAAAAAAGTCATAATTCTTTAAATAAATTATTTTGTGTCGTATTGGACTTGATAAAAATCTCGAATGCCCTGTTGGGCCAATTTTGCCTGATACGGTTGGCTTCAGTGTACTTACAGTTCAGTCTACCCAACAATCCTATCATGCAAAAGGAAATTAGATATCATTTGGTCTTATTTAATGGACGACCCCTTTGTTTTTTATGTTCAGGCTTCTTCTCCATGTGATGTTGACTTTAATATAACTATACGTCCTAACATACTCCATCAATACTTAAATCAGCCCCCACGTAAGAGCACTAGCTATATACTAGATGGCATCACACTAATCACCTAACATACTCAACAAACTCGCCATACATATCGCTTATGCTAACGTGTGATAATGTGCAACTTACTACCACGTTTCTTGATTTTTACAATCCTCCGTTCACCTTTAGAAATCTCCAGACTCCATGGATGCTCAGCCCTTCCACTTCGTCAATGGCAACAGCCCTTTATCTGTCTCTCCCGACCATATTCTTCCTCAAGACAAAAGACCAAAGTTCAACCGGACACCCCTTTTGTCTTCGGTTCCTGTCATCGACCTGATGGAGGAACCGTGTGCATTGGTTGCCGATAAAATCTCGAAAGCTTGTGAGGAATATGGCTTCGTTCAGATCATCAACCACGGCGTTCCCCGGGAGTTACCGACGGAATGTTGGCTGTTCTCACCGGTTTCTTTGAACTCCCACCTCAAGAAAAGGCTCCGTTTGTAGCAACGGATCAAAACCAGCAAGTGAAGCTGCTCAATTTCAATGTTAAAGTGATGACCAAAACAAAGTTTCCATGTGGAGTGAATGTTTTGCTCGCCCTTGGCATCCTTTGGATGATATCCTCCATCTTTTGCCCCAAAATCCTACTCAATACAGGTCAGTCGTCTAGCTTTTTTTTAATGCCCAATTATGATAATTTGATCAATGATTGGATGATCTTCAACTGTGTGCAGTGAGGTTATGGCTGAATATGGAGAGGAGATTTATGTTCTAATGAAAAGGCTATTGAGCTTGATATCTCTCGAAACCAAGATCGGCGTGAAGCAGGCCTTTCGAGCACAGGGGAACTACTATCCACCATGTCCGGACCCTGAGCTTACACTGGGACTAAATGTTCACACTGATGTTAGTGCACTCACAATCGTTAGGCAGTCGGAAGGGGTAACCGGACTACAAGTGTCAAAGATGGAATTCGGGTTCAAGTCGAACCAATCCCCAATGCATTTGTCATCAACATCGGCTATCAAATTCAGGTAAAAATCATTTATATGTTACACAAACTTTAGCATCATTAGTAAATCCAATTCGATTTTAACTGCAAAAAGTCACATGGTGTATGAATGCTTGAAGGTACTGAGTAATGGAAGGTTCAAGAGTATGCACCACAGGGTAGTGACGAACAAAAGTCGAAAACAAGTTTCGATGGCGACATTCTACACTCCGGGCAAAGATACACGATTATCGGTCCGATTCGGGATTTGATTGATGAGCAGAAGCATCCTCTATATAGGGATTATCAGTTTTCAGAGTTCCTTGAAGAATTCTTCAAGCAAGAAGGAACAAGACGGATGGTCAAAGAAATTTGAGTCGAAAGCATAAAAATGCCCCAAATTGTTATGTTCCAAAGTGTTGAGAAAATATCATTCTAAATTTACGTTTATCTTTAAAATATAAAATATTTTATGTTAATATTCAAATTACAATTAATTATAAAATAAACCCCCAAATTTTAAAATATTTTATGTCAATCCTTAATCTAATCCAAGTTATTATCGTCCGCTAGTATTATGTCGTTTACATGTATATGTATCCAAGTTGTCCAAAAAGAGTTCATATGGTTTTCCTTCTCAATGGCAAGTTTCAATAATTCCAGTAATGGTCCCCTTATTCTTCCATAATTCATTGCCACTGCTTTTTCGGAATTTGTTCGTTTGGCATTTTATTAAAAAAAACCATTGCTTGCTTGCTTCCTTCGATGCTGATTTGCTTGTCCTCTCTGCAATTAAAACACCACAATCCGTTAAAAACGAAAGCCATTGATCAGGAGTTGGCCACGGCCCTATATAACTTAGCATAAACAGCAACATAATATCAAATAATATCGGACATCAACATCGTTGTACCGCTAAAGATCTTCCGGGCACACTAGCCATCAACAAACATCACAGTATAGCATAATTGATATAGCAACATGAATAGCTCCTAATCCGACTCGACTTTGGATATAGTCGGAATCCAACAACGACCGGACGCAGAGGATTTTGATGAAGACAGAGATATTTCCGGCCAAAGCCATAATCACCCGGTTCATGAAAGAGTTGATGTACCTGTGAATACGTAAGAAGATGGTAAAGATACAACACAAAAGACCCACATCAACTTGCCATTGTCTTCTTGCATGCAAAGTTCAAAGGATTCATTATCAGCTCTCAAGATGCCACAATCATCAATGGAAAAGAAGAAATTATGGGTCATCATCGATTAATATTTTCTTTTATACAAAATAAAAGTGGTTGCTTTATTTTTCAACTTGTCCATAAAATATTGTCTACTTCTCTAGTAAAGAAAACATGGCAGAAACCAACTTACACAACATCTCGCCATAGCTACCTCATATCATTCAATGGCCAGCTCGGTGTTTCGTTTCAGACCCCAAGTTTATCTTCACTTAAACCTGCAAAATCAATGGAATTATAAGCAAACTTTTTTTTAAAAAAAAGGAAAAATGGGAGGAAGAACGGAAAATGAAAAGGGTGAATGAAGACGACGAGCAACTGCTGAGGATAAGGGAACGGAACGTTGTATGCAAATACTGAACTGCTCAACGATTGCGTTCATATGACGTTTGAAAAGAACGGAGAATGGGGAAAAAAGCTTACCATTAAAAGAAAAGTATTGGGGAGATGATCCAAAACGAAACCTGAGTGAGAGAATTCATTAATGGCCACACATCATGTAGAGCAGTTCTCCTTAAAAAAGGATTTACGGATCAAAATACATCATAGTTTTTATTTTATTTTATTTTGCTTCTATGGGTATTATATTGTTTTGATGTTCTTCGCGAAATTCAAACAGGATCATAACATACATCATGACCCTTGATCTTCCTTAAACCTGCTGCTATTGCCAGTGATTCCTGTTATGAACAAGGTAAGCATGGCAAGGGTTGCCATGGTGAACATGGTAACCGTAGTAAGGAATATTCTTCCCCGCCGCCGAGCAAAGAGAGAAAGCAACGGGAGTCCCCGTGATCTGACGTACGCAGGGGAACCTGGGAGTACTCGACGGAGACGACGACGACGACTTAGAAGACGAAGCCGACGATGGAGGAGGAGAAATCGGTTTTTTGGCGGATTTTGGCAACGGAAGGAACGCTCTGATCTTCAAAGAAGACGGCGGGGACGCAAACCGATCGTATTCCTCGATTAGATTCGCGAGATCCTCATCGGAAGTGATCGAAACCAGCGCGTCCAGATCCTCCGTCGGAAGCTGGCAACGTAGAATCACCGATTTCCCACCATACATCTCTCCCATCTTCACCATCAACTCTGTAACGTCATATAGTATATTTGTACTCATTGTTTCAACAACGCGCATAATTTATTTTCTTTCTAGCACACAACTTTTGACCAGCTTAAACAACGAATACAAACAGAATTAATTAGGTAGAAGAAAAAAAGGTCCGAAGAAGGTACTGACCAGAAAAGGGAATGGAGCGCTCAACGGCAAGAACACGGGTTTCGCCACCTTGATAACGGAGTTTGCCATCAGGATAACGAGGGAGGATTTTGCCGCCGTAACTGCAGAGGAATTTGATGGTGGCGGGGCTAGTTTCTCCGACCATGTTTTTCTTTCCGGTGATTCGGTATGGAAGATAATAGTTGCAGTGTTCGGGAAAAGGGGCGGCGGAAGATGCTTCTAGACTCTGGACAGTGGTGTCTTCAAGCCTAGGCTTTGATATGTAGAATCCTTGTTTATAGACTTGTGGGAGGGAAACTGGGCCCCACTTAACTTGTGTCAAACACCGTATTCCCACGGTAAAAGTTCTCGCAATTTGTCTTTCCTGCCTTCTTCATGGTAACCACTCGGGTCGGATTAATTTTTTTTATTAATTTAATTTTATTGAAGAAATATATATATATATATATATATATATGGCGATTTTTTCGATATATTATCGGTGACTGGTAATATTATCGATCTAAAAAAAAGTGTTTTTGCACTGCGTTATACGATGATTTGGCGTCACGTGTAGTATAGCGCGCCCCTGCACCGCGCTATACGGTGAGCTGGCGCCACGTGAGTATAGCGTGGCCCCTGCAGCGCGCTATACGTCACGTAGGGGTATAGCGCGGATCAGGTACCACGCTATACCTTTACTGCATAATTTTATATAGCGCGTGACAGGTACCGCGATATACTTTTACTCCTGACATAATTTTATATAGCGCGGGGCAGGTACCGCGTTTTGTATAACTTTCCTCGCTATAAATACCATTATCCGCCGGTTAATTTATCACATCTCTCATCTCAACTTATAAATTAATACAACAATTCCGTCAACGAGTTAATAATTCTGGCAATCTTCTCATATTTTATTTAGAAGTTCGTGCGATTTTTCGTTATAAAGTAATTTTGTTATAATTTTTTATTATATTTATTGTTTATTATGATTATTTGAAAAAAATATTATACTAATTATTTTCAATTAATTTTTGTGTTTGTAAAATTGGAAAGCGGGAGCAAACGTCGAAATAGTTTTACGGTGCAGGTAATAATATTAAATTATATTATTTAATTTATTTACGTTGATGTATAAAAATTTTATTGTGTTATATGTTTGTTCATATATAATTTATTAAATTAGGTTTGTTTCATTTATTTTTTTGCAGATATAATAGTGCCGTACTTTTAAACTCAAATAATGGCGCGACTTTCAACTATTGTTTATTATGATGGTGAAATTCGAGAAGATGAAACCGGCGTTGTTTTCGTATCAAATGAGCGTGTTAAAATATCATTCAAGAGAAACATAACTCTTGAGGAGCTGATAACGAAGATTTCGAGGAAGATTCATGTTGGAAGTAGTAGAAGAGTGTCGTCGTTGCAATATAGATTTCCAACATCATTGTTGCCATTAACTTATACAACGTTCAAACTTTCGAACAATGATGATGTTGAAATTATGGTTGAAGCTCAAAGTAATTATTCAGACGCCGCTATTGAGATGTATGTACATTTTGTTCATGTGCGTGTTGTTCGGGGTCAATCATTAAGCTCCCATTATGGGCTGACTGAACAAGTTGATCAAGTTGACAGCCCGACGACAGTAATGTGTAATGATTTTAATGCCATAATGGGGAGACATTCATCCGCAACTCCTTACGATATGTACCGAGGTAGGTCGACGAACAATCCGTATGGCAACATCGCGTCCAGTTCAAGGGGAAGGCATTCATCTGCAAATCCCTTTGACCTTAATATGGAGACGCCATCGACGCAACCATCTGTGCAATTTCCATTTGACACGATGGCTTCAAGCTCTAGGGGGAGGCATTCGACTGCGAGCTTTTTCGATCTCAATGTCGATATGCCTTCCAGTTCAAGGGAAAGGCATGCAAGTAGTAAGTTCTTCGACCTAAATGTGGAGAGCATGGAGGAACCATCATCTTCACCAGAAGAACCGCTTCGCGAGCCTGGTGCGGATAGTGCTGAGACTGGACTATTCATTGACCCAGAATCACCGCAATTCAACTCCGATGATGATGAAGTTCCAGGAAATGTGGCACAAACTGACCCTCCTGCACACATGTATGAAGCTGATTATGGTGCAATGTACGTGCCAGAATTTACGGATATGCCTCATCTCGGTGACTATGGGTATTACTCATCAATAAATAATGGTATTCAAATTGAATGAAATTTGTTTAAATTCAAATTGAATGAAAAGAAATTGAATGAAATTTGTTTAAATTCAAGTTGAATGAAAAAAATCAATTTCGAATAAATAGAAGATTGGATTCAACTCGGATTAAATTCGAATAAATAGAAGATTCGATTCAAGTTGATCGATCATCAACCCTAATCTTTTCACATAACAAGAATATAAGGTATAATCTACCAGCTTGGAGACCATAAGCCCAAAATCCGAAAACCCTAGGATAAGGGTAAACTCGGAAACTAAAAACCTCACCTCCTAAATAAAAGCCCCTCAACAGCCCTACTTTCATTTTGACTCTCGCAGCCGCTCTGAACCATAATTTCCCCTCCCACAAAGCTCCATACCAATCCAGAAAATGACAACCCGCTTCAAGAAGAACCGCAAGAAGCGAGGCCACGTAAGCGCCGGACACGGCCGTATCGGCAAGCACCGCAAGCATCCGGGAGGTCGCGGTAACGCCGGAGGCATGCATCACCACAGAATCCTCTTCGACAAGTATCACCCTGGGTATTTCGGGAAAGTCGGTATGAGGTACTTCCACAAGCTCCGCAACAAGTTCTACTGCCCCATCGTTAACATCGACAAGCTCTGGTCTCTCGTCCCGCAAGATGCGAAGGCCAAAGCCAACAAGGATGCCGGCCCGATGATCGACGTGACTAAGTACGGCTACTTTAAGGTCCTCGGAAAAGGTGTCTTGCCCGAGAACCAGCCCATCGTGGTTAAGGCTAAGTTGGTTTCCAAGACTGCCGAGAAGAAGATTAAGGAGGCTGGCGGTGCTGTTGTGCTCACCGCCTAGGTTAGCATTTTTCAGTTTTCGTTTTGTTTTTTGATTTGAAAGACAGTTGTGTTATGTTATTATCTTTTGTTGTTTGGAGTTAAACTTGAAATGTGATTTTGAATTTATTTTGGCCAATTATATGTCAAGTGCTCGACTATTTGCATTATTGTGTTTGTTTTGCTGTGATCTACTTAGCTGAATTTTCTTGATTTGATCATTAATAGCTTCGTTTTATGCATGGTGGATTAAGTGGCTTGCTACGTTTGCTGAATTCATGCAAATTCTTTATCCATCATCGGGCTAGTTACTGTTTATTTGTTCTATAAGTTGCTTATGATTATGGTCCTCTGTAAGCATTTTTATGTTTTCTGATAGGCTATTTAGTTCCCTAAATGCATGGTTTTGTATTTGCATATTGGGAATGGGCAATTTGATGTTGGTTTTATATTTATTGTTAATAATTTCTAAGGCTACTGAAAGTGTAGGAAGGGGATGCTGGACCTCCTTACTATTCACTATCATGATTAATAAATAGTTTAACAAGAGGAATAGGGTACCCCGTGTTTGGTGGAGTTGTGTTTAAGTATGATATGAATACTATATGTAGTTGTTCAAGTCAATGTAATTACCCTCTACAATCATTAGAATGTATGTTTTAACAAAATCCCTTAAAAATATTACCTGAGAGAACAATGTTTCCATTTTAAGATTTTAACAGCTTCTTTAACTTGTGAATTGGTTCAAAATAAATCTGTGGCCACTTATCTAAGGGCGGTCAAAAAATGGACGAATCATTTCCCGCTAGCAATGCGAGTTTAGCTTGTCTCCGGTGCCAAAATATTCTGATGTTTTTTGTTCTAGCTCTACTTTAAGTTCATTGTCTACCTATCTTCTGAAACACTTATCCCTACCTTGGTATCCATCCTAGAATGTGTCAAGGCCATTCACACATGTTTATGAAGTGTTCCCAGAGATGCATAAAGAAGTTGTTAAAGTCGATCGATTTTGCTTTGTGACTCCAGGGGGACTCTTATGGTGATTGAAGCTCAAGTTAGATAGCCTTGGAGCTAATGGTTGGGAGGCATGGCCATGAAAAATGTTAGAAGGTGAAGAAAATGATCATTTTTCATGTCCATATATCCCATCAATTATCAATCTCAATTGGTCGTAAGAATCACGTGGGATCACGATTTTCAACCTAGGGTTTGAGGGGTATAAAACATCAATTCATCGTCTATTGGTCACAATTTCATAAGAGTTTTGATCGCCGGGGAGGTGAGGTCGGGTGGAGTTTCGTTGACGGGAAAGGGTGGTGGGCGACGTGGGTTTAGGGATTGAAATGAAGATTTTCAAAGTTTTGAGTTTATTTCAAAATTCTTGTATTTTATTTTTAAATTTTATACAACAATCTTTAAAATCACCATATTGTGACACGTGTCAATAAATGGGAGCAATTAACGTCGTTGACGGCCTGGACACCTAAATGGATAATGTTTGCAACGTTAAACACTTAGATGGGTCGAAAAATACTGTAGGCACCTATTCGTGAAAATAAGTATAGTTTGGATACTTATTTTATACTTAAGCCTTTAATTAAATGAACAAGCACAAATAAATGACTCAATCGTTCATTTACGTTCATGAACATTCGATAATTTGTTCATTTATGTTCATTTATTTATATTCATATCAATATCCAGACATGTTTGAAATATTAAAGTCTAATAAATTTTAACATGAATCCATTAATATTTTAAAACTCAATTAATTAAATCCAAATAAAAATACTCAAACCAATTAAAGAAATAATAAATTCTAAAATTATTTGGAAAGAAAAAAACTTTTCTCATATATAAATCCAATTAATTTTATGTTGGTTCGTTTACATTTGTTTATGCTCGTTTGTTTGTTTTCGTTTACATTCGTTCGCTTGCGTTCGTTTATCATTTTAGTGAATGAACATGAATAAGTAATTTCGTTCGTTTAATTGTTCGTGTTTGTCCGATTAAAATTAAACAAACGACTTATCCAAAAAAAATTCAATTAAACAAACGAACATGAACATACCCAACTTGTTTATAGGATTAAAGGTGGAGGTTGTTGCCCAAGGTATTGCAATTTCTTATCCACGGAAGCTGCATTAATCGCCATTTGAACTCTTTTTTGTTAATTTTTTATTTTAAAATACGGTGATCGGCCGTCGATTGGCCGGTTTCTACTCAGACAGTCCCCTATGCTCCATTACCAGAAGAGATTCTTACAACTGAAGAGTTCATGTCTGCTGTATAGCGGTAGCCATATTGTCTGCGACCATTATTATATGACCGCGATACTTGTCATCATCATAATAACATCCGTAATGTCCGTAGTTACGATAAACATGATCGACTAAAAAATACGACTGCAACCGTAACGTGAACAAATTGCGATGGTTGGAATCCATTGCTTTCACCTTTCACTTTCGGCCAGCGTTGATATCCACCAAACCCTCAAAACAAATTCATTGCCTTGTCATTCCCCAACAACATTCTCCATACATATAATAACAATATTTAATATTAGATTCGTTTAGGGCCATATTCTGTTTCAAAATAATGTTGCAACTTGCAAATATTATTGCCAATATTTAATAGCATATATAAATAACAAGAACGTGAACATATATGAGTATTTTTTATATAAAAATTATAAATTATATTTAAAAAAATCTCAACATTTAAAACTTTAAACTGTAAATTTTAAATTTTATAATCTAAACTATAATAAGTACATATAAATATGAAAAAGATGTAGAAAAAAAAAACACATATTTGAAACTGACAAGTGAAAAGATCAAATTTAAATAGTTTTCTGTTGAATTTTTTTAATTGAAATTCAAATAATTATATGCATAACTGATAACATATGTAGACTATCACCGTAAATATCTGGCACTCACTAATTAAAGATTTAATTTATTGTAAATTATATAAATGATCAGTAAATTATGATGAACTGATTTTTTTGATCATTGAATTTTCAAAAATTATAAAATAATCATAAAATTTATCGAATTATTATAAAATAATTATTAAAGTTTTCAAATTAGTAAATAGTCTTTAAAATTTGTCATTATTATACAACGACCGATTACTATTTTGTAATAACTTTGATAAATTTTATGATTATTTTATAATTTTTGAATCTTTGGTGACTGAAAAGATTATTTCATGCAATTTATCTTTAGATTTAGGGTAAACTTTGCATTTAGTACATAACTATCAGTTTTGATCCGTTTTAGTACCTAAACTTTTAATTTTTTTATAATCATACTTGAAGTTTAGTTTTTGTTTATTTTAGTACCCTTTCGTTAAAAATTTAACATATTTAGTACATAAACCAACGAGTTTGGTCCGATTGAGTACCTAAATTTTTAATTTTTTTAAAATTTAATATTGAATTTTGAACGGGGTATTAAAATGAAACAAAAACTAAAGTTTTTAACGGCGGGTAGTAAAATGAAATAAAAACTAAATTTTAGGTATGATTATGAAAAGAATTGAAAGTTTATATACTAAAAGAGACTAAAACTAATAGTTTAGTTACTAAATCCGTAATTTGCTCAGTTATTAATTGAATAATTGTATAGGAAGGAAAGATGACAATGATACAGCTAAAAAGTAAAACGAACAGAGTCCAATTATGTTCTTCACTTTGTCTTGTAGCAAAAAAAAGCAGATATGTTGTTCCGTGAAGATAATCAAAACACCATAACCATTATAACTAAGCCCACTTCTCCTTTGTCTTTGTCTTTGTCCCTGTCGTCGTCTTCTTCAAACCTAACACAATTATCTCTCCTTTTATTGAACCAATCCTTAACTTGAAACCCATCTTTATATTCCCCCGTTTCTTGTTGCTCGGGAAAAACCAAGGAAGCTTTCGAGTTTTGGAGTGAAACACTGAGAATCAGCACAGAAACATAGTATTTGCTGTATGTCAGTAGACAGCTGCAGTGTCAAATACTACGGTGGATACTGTGAGGTTGCTAACCCATTGCAATGGCCTCAACTCAGGAAAAAGCGACGCCTTGTTGTGTTCCCAAAACCAGCAACAACAACAACAACAACAACAACAAGAAGATGTTGTCTTCTTCTACTGAGGTTTTGGATAACTGGAGTCTTGCTGTCGGTTCTGGGGCTGGTCCGGCTGAGGATTCCAACCCCAAGACAGCTTCCATGGCTGCCATGATCCGCCCTGCTGAGACCATCGAGGATCCTCCTGCTACTAAGACCACCACCAGCAAAGGTTTAAACTTTGTACTTCTTCTATTCTTGCTTTTCCTTATTATATATATATATATAGATTGTTCATTTGTTCTTATAATATTTCCTTGATGTCGGGTTTTCATATGTATGAGGTGGCTTTTGACTTGCTTTTTTTGTTTATTTTATACACGATACCTAATCTTCAAACATGTTTATTTTATATATGTGTGTATTTTTGCACAGGAATTTCAATCATGACAAGGGCTCAGACCAGCCATCCTTTGGATCCATTGTCGGCTGCTGAAATCTCGGTGGCTGTGGCTACTGTAAGGGCGGCCGGAGCAACCCCTGAGGTAAGTAAAAGAAAGATGAATCTATGTTTGTCTTGAATTGTTGGTTTAATCTTGATGTTATGTTTTTTTTTTCTATGAATGGAATGGATTTATTTGTTTGTTTAGGTGAGGGATAGCATGCGTTTTATTGAAGTAGTTTTGGTGGAACCGGATAAGCATGTTGTTGCATTGGCGGATGCATATTTCTTCCCTCCTTTCCAGCCTTCATTGCTCCCTAGGACGAAGCGGGGACCCGTGATTCCGAGTAAACTCCCTCCGCGGAGGGCGAGGCTCGTGGTTTACAACAAAAGGTCCAACGAGACGAGCATATGGATCGTTCAATTGTCGGAAGTTCACGCTGCAACTCGAGGAGGACACCACAGGGGCAAAGTTATTTCGTCTAATGTTGTTCCGGATGTCCAGCCTCCCATGGTAAATATATGTCTTCAATCAGTTCAATTGAATTTCGTTTTATCGTTCTCATCAAGATATATTCCCCTGCTTTATTATACCCATATCATGTCCTCTATCATCGGATTTTTTGTCGAGTCCAGCTTATGTGTTTGTTTATCGATGTCCTTCTCGAATTATAGGATGCTATGGAATATGCTGAATGTGAGGCTGTTGTTAAGGACTTCCCTCCGTTTCAAGAGGCAATGAAGAAGAGGGGCATTGAGGATATGGATCTTGTGATGGTTGATCCCTGGTAAGCGTTCGTATATCGATTGTTATAGTTTGCTGTTCTATATAATCATCCTATGCAGGTTCCTTACCTTTATGCTTTTCTATAGGTGTGTAGGATATTATAGCAAAGCCGATGCCCCTAGCCGGAGACTTGCTAAACCACTTATCTTCTGCAGAACCGAGAGTGACTGCCCCATGGAAAATGGTTACGCTCGTCCGGTCGAGGGGATCCATGTCCTTGTTGACATGCAAAATATGGTGGTGATTGAATTCAAAGACCGAAAATTTGTTCCCCTTCCACCAGCTGACCCTTTAAGAAACTACACTGCTGGTGAAACACGGGGCGGTGTCGATCGGAGTGATGTGAAACCACTGCAGATTATTCAACCTGAAGGTCCCAGTTTTCGTATTAATGGGAATTTCATTGCATGGCAGAAGGTGCTTTCTTGTGAAACAAGTTATAACTTATATCAATTCAAGATGTTGTTCTAATATATTATTTTTTATTTCAGTGGAATTTCCGAATTGGTTTCACTCCTAGGGAGGGTCTGGTAATCCATTCCGTGGCTTACATCGATGGTAGTCGTGGTCGGAGGCCTGTGGCTCATCGATTAAGTTTTGTTGAAATGGTTGTTCCTTATGGAGATCCAAATGATCCACATTATAGGAAGAATGCATTTGATGCAGGAGAAGATGGGCTGGGGAAAAATGCACATTCTCTTAAGAAGGTTTGGCAGTTCTTTTCGGTTTTTCGCTTCCATGTCGAGTTTCGAGATTCCATTTCTTTAGTTTAAGTTGACATTTTCCCTGCTTTGCCTTTATCTCCTGTAGGGCTGTGATTGTTTGGGATATATCAAGTACTTTGATGCTCATTTTACGAATTTCACCGGAGGTGTTGAAACAATCGAGAATTGTGTCTGTTTGCATGAAGAGGATCATGGTATCTTATGGAAGCATCAAGATTGGAGGACAGGGTTATCAGAAGTCCGCCGGTCAAGAAGGCTGACGGTATCGTTCGTATGCACCGTGGCTAATTACGAATACGGATTTTTCTGGCATTTCTACCAGGCAAGTTGGTGTCTGCAATGATTTTGTTTGCTTTGCACAAATTGGCTCTTGTGCTCATCTTTAAACTGCTTAAAATTTCAATGATGGATTCTTGTTATAGGACGGTAAAATCGAAGCCGAGGTTAAACTCACTGGAATTCTTAGTTTAGGAGCTTTGCAGCCTGGTGAAACACGGAAATACGGCACAACCATCGCTCCCGGGTTATATGCACCTGTCCATCAACACTTTTTCGTGGCTCGCATGGACATGGCAGTCGACTGTAAACCCGGTGAAGCGTTTAATCAAGTAAGTTGTGTTATTGTTCCGTACTTCCATTATTATGGTTTAGTTTCGCTCCATTCATGCAAATCTGTATATACATTCTTATAGGTTGTTGAGGTGAATCTTAAAGTTGAAGAACCAGGGAAGGAAAATGTTCATAATAATGCATTCTATGCTGAAGAAGAACTACTTAGGTCCGAACTGCAAGCAATGCGTGACTGTAATCCATTGACTGCACGCCACTGGATCGTGAGCGATTTTTCCAACCCTTCGTTTTCGTTGTCTAATCCCGATGACCTGATCCCTGAACCGTACTTTGTATCTTCTATATTAGATTAGGAACACGAGAAACGTCAACAGGACTGGGCAGCTAACAGGATTCAAACTGGTACCTGGTTCGAATTGTCTGCCACTGGCTGGCTCTGAGGCAAAAATCCTTCGAAGAGCTGCTTTCTTGAAACATAATCTTTGGGTCACACCCTATGCTCCCGAAGAAATGTACCCGGGAGGAGAGTTCCCCAATCAAAATCCGCGTGTTAATGAAGGATTGGCTACTTGGGTTAAGCAGAATCGTTCTTTGGAAGAAGCCGATATAGTTCTGTGGTTAGTTTCCGACACGAACTTCCTCCAAGGACTATACCGATTGTTTTTGTTCGTATTTAACTATAAAATCACTTCAAGTAATTTAATGCGCATTCATAGACATCTTTGGTATGTATCACCTACGTTGTTTACCTTCTGTATTAGGTATGTCTTTGGAATAACGCATGTTCCCCGGCTGGAAGACTGGCCTGTCATGCCTGTGGAGCACATCGGCTTTATGCTTATGGTATGTACTCTGATCCTGATAAAGTTCACTCCTTGCATGAGTTTAACGCTTTTGCTTATGGTAAAGTCATTCACCGTGTTATCTAATTTGACGATGTTGTCGACACATTGTCCCCTTTAGACAACATTCACCGTCGTGATAGGTTTGCGTGTTAAATAAAATGCTCAAAACAAATAGCCCAGATTTTTGTGGAGGAGTGTAATACAATACCGTGCATATCAAGCCAGTTCTGTTTACATTTTTCTTTAGCAGCCTTAGTATATAGGAGGAGGTCGACTCACATTTTATAGCTTGGTTGACAAAAGCATGATTTTTTTAAGTTAATCCTTGCTATCTGCAATGCAGCCACATGGCTTCTTTAATTGCTCACCGGCGATCGATGTTCCTCCGAGTGCAACCGATCTGGAGCTCAAGGACAATGACATTGCGACAAAGCCTATCCAAAACGGGATGATCGCGAAGCTTTGAATTAATCTCTGCAGTCTGCAAAATATTCGCCAAACATCAAATGTTTGAGCCATTGGCCTAAAATTATTAAGTATGAATGTTTGTATTTTGTTTGTCCCCATATGAACTATGAATGCTTGTATTTGTTTGCCCCCATATGAACTGCCCTTGAAGTTTTGTAATATATTGAAACTCTTGTGTGATCATTATGTAATATATTTAACTCTAAATAATTGAATCAATAAATAATTGCGATTTTTCGTTCTCGTTGCCATTTGCTCGACTTTTATACTAGCAGTTGACACAGGTGACCTCATATATAAACATGGCTGGGGCAATAACCTAATGGTGGTAGCCTATGGCAGCCACACTTTCCTGTATAAAGTAATTTAAGACTCCAAATTTCATTTCTTCCAATGCAAGTAATGAAACATGAAAGAGTCGAAGAAGCAATTACAGGATCATACGAGAAAGAGAAAAGTTTGGTAACCAGTCAGGGTATTACCCATCGAGATGAAGGCAAAGCACGCCAATTGTCAGCAAGAAGCAGGGCACGGTTGCGAGAAGTTGCTGAAGGATTACATTCTTTGACATGAGTTGCAGCCATTTCACCTGAATGTAGAGCAAGTTCAAGGCGCACTATAGGTTTCATCATTTCCCCTTCCTGCTCAAGTATTATCATCGAAAGCTATATCAGTTTAGATTGCATAAATACGACAATATGACACGCAATCATGCTGTTGAGAAGTTAGTTATTGATCACAATACACAGACAAAAATGGTACACTAACAAGAAGCAAGCCCCTTTAATCCAACCAGAAGCTCAAAGATACAACTTGCCTTTGACTGAATATTGAACTTGCTTCACATTTTCATTCAGTGACTCAATCCAACAATCAGAAGCATAAATACTAGTATTTAAGCGCTTTAATCCTAAATCGTAAAATCGTCTTTAAAGCTCATATGATACTAAGGTGTTAACAAAAAATATGGAGTTTTATGAACAGCTGTGAATTAAATTTGGTGTGGCCAATTAATAGGAGTATTATTCCAATCAGCTATAAGAGGAATCTATCAAACTGAATGCTGCTTGCTTTCTGATATTATTTCTTTCCATCATTTCTCTAACTTCTGCAGCAGCTTCCCACTGTCCTGCTTCAACATACATATTATACAACAATATATATGCAGCTGAGCTTTCAGGTTCTAGTCTCATCAATGCTTCAGCAGCAACTGGAGCCAACTCCACATTATTATGAAGCCTACAAGCACTAAGTAATGCACCCCAAATTTCCTTATCTGGCTCAAATGGCATACTCTTGATTAAATCCATGGCTTCCTCAAGTTGGCCATGTCGAGCAACATTGTCTACCAGGGAAGCATAATGTTCGATGCGAGGCTCAATGCCATATTCACTAACCATTGACTTTAAATATGCCCAACCCCCACCAACTAATCCAGCATGGGTACATGCACTCAAAACATAAATAAATGTAATATAAGTTGGTTGAACATTACTCTTCTTCTTTGATTCAAATAATTCTAAAGCCTCTAAAGCATAACCATGTGATGCATATCCTCCTATTATTGCGTTCCAAGAGATTACATCTTTTGATGATTTCAACCCATCGAAACTGACGTGTGACTCAATCAGTGCCCCGCATCTTGAATACATTGTAATGAGAGAGTTCTCTATAGGTACATCTGGAATTACACTCTTGGAGACCAACTGATGAATCTGCATACCTAATTTCAGATCCACAAGCCCAGTAGAGACACTAAGAACTGAAGATAAAGTATGTCTGTCAGGTTTTTCACCTTCAGCTTGCATTCGTTTGAAAAGCTCAATTGCCCCTTTATAATCCCTGTTTTTCTCATACCCTGCTACCATGGTGCTCCATGAAACTAAATGCTTTTGAGGCATCATCTCGAAATATTCACGAGCACGTTCTAAGTTACCCATTTGAGCATACCCTGAGATCATTGAATTCCAAGACATGTTATCAGGAGTTGGCATCACATTAAAAAGATTTAGAGCCTCCTCCATATCTAGAATTTGAACATAGCCATTGATCATGGTATTCCAAGAAAAAGTATCTCTATCCACCATTTGATCAAAGGGCTCCCTAAAAAATATCAAATTCCATTGTCCTACTTCTATACGACCGATAGGCATAGTGAGTAAAATAGAGCCAAAGAAGGGGACATCAACAATGCATTACGAACTGAAAAAAAGAAGATTTTTAAAGCTTTCATGTGGCCCTCATTATTCAAATTTGCTTCTACTTTGTAGTCTTAGCTTGTTTTGTCAATTGTCATGCCTTGGGAATATTTTTGAATTATGGACCATTCTAGACGTATTCATATTAAAAGTATATATTTATTAAACATTATTAAACATTTAAATTTAAATATTACAGGGTTTAAAATTTAAATTAAATAGGAATTAAATTCATAGAGATAAAAGAAATATCGTTAAATCAATCAATTTGGAGATCGAATCTCTTTCATTTTGTATACAGATAAATTTATTCCTAACAATACACATGATCTGTCACATATATTATTATGTGATCTAAACCAAAACAAATTGACTGAAAATATAGGTTAAAATTAATAAGAAATCTTTAATGTTAATGACTAAATTTTGTGTTTATAGCATATTAAAATCTATAATAAAAGGATTCATGCACTTGAAATTGATCTGGGCCTTTTTGCAAATAACCAATTTATTTGGACCAAAAGAGTTGCTATAAATATCTGCAATAGCTCCATACTCTTTAAAGCCCATAAAAAAGAAGGTTAAAGACTAGAGACATGTTTAGCAAAATATTAGAGTAAGAGAGGGGAGGGTACAAGTAGATTTGGTCATATTAGATCATAGGGTAAATTAGGTGTTTAGTACTTAAATTACCATTTTTAATCCATTTTAGCACCACAACTTTTAAATTTTTCAAAATCATACTTAAAATTTAGTTTTTTGTTTCATTTCCGTACATCTGTTCAAAATTTAACGTTAAGTTTTGAAAAAAATATATGAAAGTTTAGGTACTAAAATAGAATAAAATTGATAGTTTAGGTACTAAATACATTACATTTTTAACGACAAGATATTAAAATGAAACAAAAACTAAATTTTAAGTATAATTTTTTTAAAATTAAAAGTTTAAGTACTAAAACAAATCAAAACTGATAGTTTAGATATTAAATGCATAATTTACTTTAGATTATACTCGTCATATATATAAAGAATTATCTTAATATAGAACTCGTTGAGTGACCTAAGTGATTAAAGAGAATAATTTTTCCCATGAGATCATGGATTTGAGTAAATGTATCTATAGGGTGTACGTGAGATGATAATGATTAAAAACAATTATAAACAGATACTATCATGTAATTATCCAAACCACATTGTTGTATACATAAAAAAATTTATCTTATATATATATATAAAAGGACCGACCTCATACATAAATAAACTTCCTACTTCATCGTCCAAACGATCATGTATCCATGGGATTCAGAATTTAGTTCTTGTGAGCATCCTCCTCGGCTATCTGATTGCACTTGGAACCCAAAGTTTTCAAGTAGGCGTCGTTAATGACGAAAGGAGAGGGCTTGGTGGTCACGGCGTAGACTCGATCGCACTCTTCGTAATCCTTCATGGCTTCCTTGACCTCGGTCTCGAATTCTTTGAACCCTTGGTGCGTCTTGATGCCGCCCTTGAGGACAGCCATGGCCTTGTTCAGGTGCTCATTCGACGCCGCGTAGAATTTATTGCAGTCCCTCACCATCTGGCTGTTGCCCACCGTGGGCACCCTCTCCTTCGCGCGCTCCGAAGCGCCTATCAAGTCCTTCAGGGAGGCTTCGAGTTTCGGATCGGATAGGACGCCGCCGCCTCCGCTCGGGACTTCCGCCTCGAGTTCACGTTTAACGGTGGTGTCGGCTTGAGTGACCAGGAGAATCGTGGCGAATGCAACGAAGGTTAGTGGAAATGAGATTTGTTTCTTGTTGGCCATGCTCTTTTCTTTTTATTATTATTATTTTGTTGTTGTGATGGAGGGGTGATTGGGAGCATTCATATAGGTAACCTGACCTGAGAATTTCCAGGGCTCGGCATTATTTTGGTTTATCTTTGTTGTTTTGTTTCCCAATTTTCTAAATTAAGGAGACCAAATTCAAAAGCATACCATATTATGTGCAGTTAAAATCGCTATTTCGCATCTTATATGCTTTATATTTTGGGGGTAAAGTACACAAATGGTCCCGACTATAGAGTATTGATTTATTAAGTCTATCGACTATTAAAAGTTATAAAATATCATTTGATTATAGGGTATTACTTTATTGAGTCCATCGACTATAATAAGTTATAAAATAGTCATTAGACTATTCGTTATGTTCTAAACACATCATTTTTATTAAAAAAAAATGACAGCATTCTAAGCTGGACGTTAACATACTGATTGTGATATAATAAAATCTTATCCCAGAATCTAAATAGCTATCATATCAACGTCCAACTTAGACGACCGCAAATTTTTGAACAAAAAACGAGTTTAAATATATAAATAGTCGGGGTGACCATTTTGTAACTTTTAATAGTCGAGAAACTCAACAGAGAACACTTTATAGTTGGAGAACCATTTTGTAACTTTTAATAGTCGAATGACTTATTAAGCAATACTATATAGTCAGGGACCATTTATGTACTTTACCCTATATTTTGAAAGATATAAATATGAATTAATTGCATCATATATCTTTAAACTTTTTATTATTTCATTTTCATCCTTAAATTATAAATCTCATTCTAAATTGATCTTTAAACTTTTGAACATTTCAATTTCATCCCAAACTAACAATATTGTATGTTTGTATAATTGGTAGACAATATTGTTTGTTTGTATAATTGGTAGACCAAACTATATTATGTATGTTAGAAAAAAATAGGTTAAATAATGATTGAAATTAATAACAAATTTGGATGAGTTTATGGATGAAATTGGAAGACTCAAAAGTTTGGAGACTAATTTAGAATGAGGGTCACAGTTTGGGGTGAAATTAGAATGTTCAAAAGTTTAAGGACTAATTTATAAGTAGATTCATAGTTTAGGGGTGAAATTAGAATATTTGAAGTTTGAGGATCAATTTAAAATGAAAGTTCTAGTTTGAGGATGTGAAACTAATTAACTCTAATTAATTTATAAATACAAATTTTATATAAATTATCCTACGTGTTATATAATTAAATTTATTCATGATACACTAATTCCATAAAATTTTAATTTAAAGCACATCTTACTAAAACATGTCTTGAACAAAATATGCTATAATACACTAATTCAGGTTATCTATATGTTTCAGAAAAAAAAAGAGAAAAGGATAAATTATGCAATTAATACCTAAAATATCAGTTTTGATACATTTTAGTACCTAATTTTTTAATTCTTTTCAAAATCATACCTGAAACTTAGTTTTATTTTGTTTTAGTATCCTATTCAAATTTATCGTTAAGTTTTTAAAAAAAATCAAAAGTTTAGGTACTGAAATGGGCTAAACTGATAGTTTAAGCACTAAATACGTTAATTTTTCAATGACGAGTACTAAAATGAAACAAAAACTAAACATTAGACATGATTTTGAAAAAATTGAAAGTTTAGATACTAGAACGGACCAAAACTGATAGATTAGGTATTAAATGCGTCATTTACCCAAAAAAGAAAAAGATGCATAGTTTTATGAACGAAATCTTAATATTATCCAACAAACGGGTCTTTGAAAACTATAACACAGCATTGCAGCTTTGTAGTTACATATATCATTCTTGTTTACCTTTTCCAAATACCTTTTCCAGCCTTCAGCAATGAAGCATACAGCAGCTCGTTCCAGGTATCCGGTACTCCAGGCAAACACCAATGACTGCAATCTTGAGCTCCGACCGCTCGATTCCGTTCTTCTTCGGTCTTGTATTCTCTTCTATAGATAGAAGGATGCGCGTCTTTCCGGTAATCCGTAAGCCTGCTTATGTTCAGATATATAACCGGAATTTTGGTTGTTTGAAGAACATGTTCCACGGCTCTCATTTTGGAAGGGTACTTGGTCAAGTGTGTTTCGTTGGTTATCGGCTCGGTTTCCTGGTGACATTGTCCTCCAGAGTTCCATTGGCCTCCCCTGCAACCAATATCCGGATATACATCGGACTGAGTATGCAAGATGAAGAATGCGAAACATAGCAATATAGCATATATTGCCTACTTCAACACAGACATGTATGATGATATGTGCTAACCTATATATATACACAAACAAGAGGTTCGTAAATCGTAATCTTACCAGAAATGGGTAACGGAATATCCCCTGAAGAACACCTGAGTTCGACTGATATCGACATTCTTGTCTACCCATCTCGACCAGGTTGCTAGTGCCTTCTGATAAGCTTTCAGGACTTTGAGCCGCGGGTAAACATAGTCACCCTCTTGGTAATAGTCTTCCCTGCATGATCACAGAAAACGGTTTTGCTTTCGCTTTTCCAAAAATAGAAGCTTATGGCATCATAATGTTGCAAGAACTAGACATTTCGAGTTTACGAATTACGAGTACTCACCCTTTGGAAGTTTTCTCATGAGTCCACCAATGACCTGTATTGAACACCATCAAATCCGCATCATGATACATTGAAGTTGCTGGATCCATGAGATCCAACCTTAGTGTCTCGATCGATCCGTTTTTGCGCTTGAAAGACGATTCTTTGACGAGAAACGGGGCGGCAACAAAGTCCACAGAGCAATTATAATCCTACAAGGACACATGTTCTTGTAAGAAATGCATTTACAGTTGGTGTAGCTTTTGTAACAAGCAACATTAACAAGTCCAAAAAACCAACTTGCCTCAAACCTGAATGCATAAATCCCCTTCTTCTTAAAGTCACTCCTACCGGAAATTTCGTAAACTCTCTTCTTTTTCTTGACGCTACGCCGGAGAATACACACCATGGATTCCCACATGTTCCGGTTCAACGAATCGCCGATGTAAACGAGCCTTTTCCCTCTCAGTCTCTCCAGAAAATCAGTTGCATTCAGCCTGTAAGGTCAATAATGAGAGTTAAAAAGAGCTGTTAAGCATAAGAACAACACTAAAAGCATCCCTTACCTTGGTAATTCACATCTATTTGGCTGCCATTTCCATTTGATGTAGCCATTATCAGGCCTCCCATTGCGCTGACAGTCGAAGTCTTTATCGATATAAGGACACGAACCCGGCCGATAATACGGCTTCGAACGACCATTCCACACCCATCTACCATCAAACAGATCACAAGTCTCAAATGAACCATCCAATTCCATAGCCTTATCTTCAACTGGTAGCACAGGAATTTCCCCTTGATGATTGTTATCTGCAATCACGTTACCAACGAATTCCCCTTCAGTAACATTGGTTGCATTCACATTTTCACCAACCAAAGTTACATTTTTTACAGTTTCATCTCCATTTGAGCCTAAAAGGTTACTATTTTCTTGGAAAACTAAACCATTTGCATCTTCAACAACAAAGTTTCCATCCATGTTAATATCCACACCATCCTCTAAATCAACCCAATCTCCCTCAATCTCCTCCAAAACGTCTTGCTTTTCTGCAACTTCCGACGCATTGTCGAGCCTTTTCTCGGTATCAACGGGCCTCGGCCGCGGTTCCTTGGTCACATTAGCAACCGAGGAACGAAGAGAAACGGCGGCGGCACCGGTGGTGACACTGTAAGACAAGACAGAACCTTTAAGGGAGCTGTTAAGCAAGAGACCGGTGAGTACTATAAGAGACGCCACCGACCCCCAGACGAGCCGCGAACCCGCCTTTCCCCTCGGGGACAATTGGTCTGACAAACCGTGCTTCTTTACATCCATCGAACTTGAACAAAAAAAGGAACCGCAAATGCCTTGAGGAGCAAAAGAGATAAGACCAGGGAACAAAAACAAGTGAACAAGTTGTGGTGGGGAAGAAGAAGAAGACAGGGGTAGTGTGGTCCAGAAATGACAAACGAGAACTGAGGAGAATAAGTTACAAGTGTTTAATTCACATGTGAAACAAATTTGCTGTAAATGGGTCTTTGGTGTGAGCTTCTACACTTGTGCTTGTTTCGAACAAGTTCAGAAGGGAGAGCAAGTTAAAAAGGGTAAACGGAAGGGGTAAATTGGTTTACTGTAACTGGATATCTTGATGCCATTTTCGAGTATTCAAAGTGCAGTAACTGGCGTCATTATCAAATGGTAATTTTCTTTTCGATTTTTACAAGGAATTATTAACAATTTGTGAATGATTAGGGTTTTTTTTAAAGAGAATTTTATATTTTTAAAAAAGTACAAATGTCGTAAAAAATAAGCGAACCAATGAATGAACCAGGTACAAGATTTGTCGGATGAATGAACCAATGGCTTTGATGTAAATAGTGCGACGAAGGTGAGGATATTTTTGTCCAAGTGCTGGGAAAAAGTAACTGCCAAATACATCGATACCCCTGGTGTACATGTTCCCGCTGACACTCGATGCAGACACGTGGCGGAAGACGGAGCTTATATAATCTCGATGGTTATGAAGAGGGTGGGTTAGCACGCCGCACGTGCTGATGTTTACAAAGCACCGCCAACCGCATCGCACTGAAATGATCACACGTGTCAAAACATTTTGATAGAGTGCAGACGCACTTGTGACAAATTCATCACTCTGTGTCCCTGTTTGCAGATTTGCGGTTCCATCCCACTCAAACGTTTTTACATTCTTCTTTTGGTATAGTGACAAGTTTAGCATTCATAGTTTATACTCTTATCAATTTAGTCCTTTATTTTGCCCTGATCTCAATTTTTTTTAATAAATATAATATAATATATACAAATGGTCTTATGATTATAAGACATTATTTTATTGAGTCATTCGACTATTAAAAATTATAAAATAATCTTTCGAGTATAGGATGTTGTTCTGTTGAGTCTCTGACTATTAAAAGTTACAAATTATCACCCGGTTGTCCATTGTGTTTTAAATTCATCTTTAAAAACTTGATGATTATTTGATTTGGACGGATGGTTGTTTAAGATTTTGATATCAAATTTTATCATATCATAGTTAACACGCAGAAATCACTATTAATTTTTTAACAAAAAAAAGATGAGTTTGGATAACAATTAATAGTCAAATGATCATTTTTTAACTTTTGACAGTCGGAGAACTCAACAAAGCAACACCCTATAGTCAGAGGATCATTTTGTAACTTTTAATAGTCAGATGACTTGATAAAATGTCTTATAGTCAGAGACCATTTATGTATTTTACCCTATAATATTTTATCTTTGTCTTAAAGTATTTAAAATATTTTTAAGAACAAGACTCGATAGTAAAAGAATTGTTGTTATTCCTTAATATTTTAGATTTGAACATTAAAAATGTCAGATGTGTGAGCATTCAAAGTTAAATGATTGAGAGTTGTCTTTGAACATATATTACTTTATACTTATCTCATATTAACAAAAAAAATAAATTATTTTAAAAACTTTATTAAATTTACCTTAAAAATAATTATTAAATTTAAAAATATAAATATAAAGTCAAATTTATTATTATGATTTTTTATTCTCGTTTTGTTATTAATTACTCTTATTTCTAAATACTTTACACCTGTATAAAACTTACTGCTTTAACTCGAGATTTTTCTTAGCAAAATTTCATTTTTTATATTATACAAAGATCGTGTCACCAAAGCAACAGTTTACGGGATTCGAGAAAAACTACGTCGTTCGCATGAAAAGGCTAACCCATGTACATTTCACGCCATATGTACAATGATGATTCGTGGGAATGTCTCACGTGCGGCGCCTTAGTATACAACTAAAATAAAGTGTTATCAGTTTTATTATTATTTTAAATAATAAAAATAGTATAAAATAATCGAAAACGTTATTATTTTTATCAGTTCAAATTAACTATATAGGTAAACGCGGTAGAAAAAATTCGATCAAAAAATAATATTTTTTCTACCGCATTTACCTATAAAGGTAATTATAACCGGTAAAAATAATAATATTTTCAATCATTTTTTACCGGTTTTGTTATTTAAAATAATAACAAAACCGATAACGCCTTATTTTAAACGTATACTAAGACACTGCACCGCATAACTCTCTATGATTAGTTAAAACTCTTAAGCAACCTAAAGGGGTCTCCTCATATAGGGTTGTGAGAAAAATATTTTTATTATATAAGTCATCTACCATATTATTTTTCGAAATATGATTTCTTAGTGGTTTAAAGACATCGTGTACTTCTAGGGTCTTCTTCATTTGCCTGAAGACGTTATGCAGTCGTGAGGTCTTTTTCATTTGTCTGAAGACGCCATGCAATCGTAGAGTCTTCATATTTGGCTTAAAGACGCGTGGAGCACCTAACGTCTTTATATTAATACTGTGCAATTCACTTTAGATGAGGAAATAATCCTCAGGTTGAATTATATTGGGAATTAAAAAATCACAGTTACATTATCTCAACCATTTTACCTAAACTTGGGTTTTGATGGTGAATAATATTTTGACAGTCTACCAGGATTATAAGATAATATTTATTTATAATTTTTTAAAAATTTTAATAACGTATATATTTTATCCAAACGTAATTGTTCGAATTTAAGATCTCAATAAAAAATAATATTTTATTTAATCACGAAATTATTTAATAGGTTCATATTAATAAAATATTAAATTATGATTAATTATTTTTTTGAAATTGAAATATAAGAACGAAACGATTGAAGCCTGTGGATAGCATGCATTAGGTATTATGTCAATTTAAGGTTGTGGTTAACGAGAATAGTGAAGTCCATTTCGAAATTAATGCAATACAAAACGAATGAATTAGCATGCATTAGGTATGAGACATTAATGTGAATGTATATGTATTACAAATGAAGATGTTTCAAAGTTGTGAACTAGATTTAATTATTTTGGGCCATGTTGATCTACTTATTAGGCTTTAGAGATCGACCAACCCATAAGGCCCGTCTTTGGTTTGTTTAGGGTTCAGGCTAAATGCGAAGGCAAAATTGACCCATTAGCCCAGACAGTATAATTAATTGACTCATTAGGTCACTTTGAATTTTATTTTGGGATTCATGTCAAATGCTACTGTAACGTCCTAAAATTAGGGTTAGTGACTAAAATGAAAGTTTTGAAACTTTGAGGTCTAATTTTAAAAGATTGAAAAGTTCAAGGATTTAATTAAGAAATAGTTTATAAAGGATTTAATAGTAAAGTTTGAAAGTTATATGGGTATAATGGTCATTTGATAAGAAAGATTTATATTTTTCCCTTTATAAAGGAAAATCACGTGAAAAATGAGAGAAAGGAAAAGTGAAGTCCGGAACTTTGTTTCTTCTTCTTCATCCTCTTCACCGTGAGCTCATTTCAAAGGTGAGTTGGATTTAACTTGAATGTTTCTTTAAATTTAAGGTTTCTTTTTATTCTTAGAGTGATAAGAAAGCTTAAAGGAAGTTTTAAGTGGCTTAAAACTTAAAGAATTTCAAGTTATGAGAGATTAAGAAAAAGAAGTTTTTAAGTGAATTATTGACATAAAAGGAGTTGATGGATTTAGAAACTGGAATTGACTTGTCAATAATTGAATTAAGAGATATGAAGTGATAGAATTGAAATTAGAACATATAGAAAATTTGGTATGATTCTTGATTTCCATTTTGAGCATGAGATTTTGAAGTTAAAAAGGTACTAAATGCATAGGAATTGGTTTGGGTATGTATATGTGAGTTAAGAGTATTAAATGGGTTAAGATATGAAGGATTTAAGTTCATATTGAGTAATTTTCGGGCTTAAAAGGGAAAATATGGGCTATGGGTATCGATACCGATTCATCAGGTACCAATACTTCAAGAGTAAAAACGAGGAAGACATTTATGAGGTATCGATACTTGAAGAACAGTATCGATACCAAGGGTACCGATACCTTAAGGACAATATCGATACCATCTTTGAAACGAGAATTACAGAATGCAATATGGGTATCGATACTTAGGCATGGTACAAATACCACAGTTAGAAAGTATCGATACCCTAAGAAGGGTACCGATACTACTTCAAGTAGAAAAGAGAATTAAACCTTTCTTCTAGCTTAAGAAATTAAGGAACTAATTATAGTATTAGGAATGTTGATATGTATATTATACGTATGATTATGTAGATATCGATCGAGAGCAACGTGCGGACAAATTGATAAGTAATAGTCATAAAAAAGAGATAAAGAATTGGTATTGACTAGTGAGGCCAGGTGAGTGCATTACATTATGTATATGATATGCCATGGAAATAAGAATTGCGATGAGTCTAATTTCCATATTATGTTATATGAATATGATTGCATGTGTTATACGTTATTGTGTGAATTACATGTTATACCATGTATGTTAAATGAGGTATGTGAATGAAGATTGGCGTGTTGATCTATGTTAAATGATATAATGGAATTATATAATGATGTGAATCTGGATTATAAGCTATATGATTATAAGAACAATATATGAGTTATATAAAATGATTATGTAATAATATAAGGATATAATAAAAGTGAGTTCATGAGAAATGATATGAGCTAGGTAAGCATGTGTAAAGGTTATATAAACAATAGGAACATGAGTTGGGTAAGTACATGGTTGTGTTATCATTTATGTAAAATAGTATAATAGAATTATATGATTAAATGAGAAGTGAGATAAACTAAGTAAGATTGACCTATAGGATGATATGAAAATATTATATCAACTAGGAGATTTGAACATAAGTGATGATACGAACATATAAGATAAGCTATATGGGGAAGATTCATGTGCTTAAATAAAATTATGACATATGGGTTATATGATAAAGATCTATGAAGCCATGTGAGAAGGTTATAGTAGCCATATGAAATTGAACTAAGTAAATAG